GGCCGGCAAAAAAATTTTAAAACTAAGTGCGGGCCGGGCCGGGCCGACAAAAAAATTTTAAAACTAAGTGCGGGCCGAGCCGGGCCGGGCCACAAAAATAGGTAATTTGCAGGCCCCTACTGGTAATAAATTTATCAACATTTTATATATAACTTATTATGCATAAATAATTATAGTAGAGATTTATAAGTGATTATTTTATCAAGTCTAATTACAATCATAGGTGACTTTCTTATAAAAAAATTTTACTAGTCACTATTAATATTAATTTGAAAATTAAATGCATAATTGTCGAAGTCACGTATTAACTCTCAGTTTGATTATGATGGATTACCGTTGGTATTAGTTTGCCTGGTGTTGACCACAATTACAGTAGGTTGTTTTAGCCCCGGAGATATATCACCTTTGATAAATCCATTTTGGATTTCGTTCGAATTTTCTTCCAAAGACTTGAGTTTGGTCTCTGGAAGCAGAAAAGTAAATAGAAATCCAATAAAGCAGACCGCTGCAAAAAACTCTAGTAGACGGTCGACAAACTTATTGGTCCCGCCTGTGTCTTTAAGTGCCAAAAATCCTACTTGTGATAAGACAGCGCCTAATTTTCCACAAGCTGCTGATATTCCGTGGCACGTACAGCGATAACGGGTTGGAAATACTTCAGCAGGTACAATAAAAGTCGTGGTATTCGGGCCGAAGTTTGTGAAGAACTATCATTATAAAAACAGCAGTGTGAAGGTTAATTAAAAGTTGTTGATGTATATAAATTGGTAAAAATATGTATAAATCTATTTTTAGGTTCAATGCCAATCTCTAAGGTTTCTTAATGATTAGGGCTATACCAGATAAACATATTTAAACTTAGGACAATTAATTTCATATAAATTATCATAGCATTAATGGTTAAATTCTAATATATAAGCAGATGATAATTTATATAGTTTTGTAGCCCTATGGTTAAATATATAATTCTCGGTTTTAACATTTTAGCCTCTGTCTTTAGAGATTTGAATTTCGCATATTTTACATTTAACGGCATAAAAATCCAATACATCAATTTTTTATATTTTGCTGGAAGTCTATACCTGATAGCCTTTGCTAGGAAAATGACTTCCAGAATTATTTGGATTTTATGAATAAAATTTAAATTTGTCAATTTTCATAAAGCTTAATAGCTCTATCGTAAAATAAAAAATTATTCATAAAATTTACATACAGTAATTTTCTAACAAAGATCAACATGAATTATTTTAAACCATTTTAAATCGTAAACTTTTTATACAAAAAAAACATGGTTGACTAGTAATTTTATAGATATCAGCTTTTTAAAAAAAATCTCTTGTATAAGAAGTTTCACGATAATAGATAATAGGATTCCAGCGTCTTATGAACATTAAAGCTTTTCGACTCATTGTAGAAGCAAAAAAAATTTGAAAAATAGACCGATAACATTGTAGAGTTTATCTCAAATTACAAAGATATCAGTCAGCTTTTGAAGTTTGCTTCTACTGTATATGAATTGAAAGTTTTAAAAGTGCATTGAACTTTTGTTCACGTCATTATTGAGTATAATAAGCATACATACCATTGACACTATGAAGAGGATAATAAATATTATTTGATAATTATTGGTAATGGCATGGTATGAAAACCCAAGAATCAAATAAAGAACCGTGAGCATAGCAAATCCCATTAATTGAATGAACTTTCTTCCCAATCTATCAATTAACAAGAAACTACACCAATATCCCGGTATTGTTCCCAATATTGTTACTATTATGCTACCAACTGCAACATTAAACAATGATTGATATGGATCCGAGGTTGTGCCTAGGTTGGCCGCATTCATTATAGCTCCTTGATTAAAGAATGTTAATAGTCGGTTAATAAGTCGGCGTTTGGACAAAATATGACCCATCTAAATGCCACATGGTTATTTATCACATTATACAACCAAAGTGATTAATCAATTAGTCGGGTCACCTATCGCTATATATATTCTATTCAAATATTATTTATTTTCAATTACTTACCCTGATTAAAACCAATGCCATAAAATGCCACGTCAATGGCAAACCATGTGGCACAAGTACCAAGAAGAATTTTTCCATTATTCCATTTTCCGAAGTATTCTGTATAAAATATTAAAACATGAATCGATTCATATTTTTTGAAAGTTTATCTTTTGGGTAATTACCTCGAAAATCTTTCCAAGAAGCTTGTGGAGTTCTGACTAAACAAAACGCCTCAGTCTGATTGCTCGTTGTATAACCGTTTTCGCTTAGAAGATTCTGTACATCTTTGGCTCCTTTCCCAATATTTCCGGTTACATCCATAGTATATCGGGGCGATTCAGGAATTGTTAACCTGAAATACAATACCCCAACGGCTGGAAGCATGCCAATTCCAACGACGATTCTAAATGGCATAATTCAATAAAGCTTCATGTTCAAAATCAAACTTAATTTACATAAATTTCATACCTCCAAACAAAGTCAACGTAACGTATATCGTTCTTAATCGAAGATTCAAAGGCTATTATGGTAATCATTGTAACCAACCCTGCAGATAAAATGCCGAATCCTTGCATTGAGAATACCAATGCCATCATTGCCCCACGCCTATTTTTGTTGGCATATTCACTCGTTAAGACTAAAAAAAATAGATTTTTTGTAAAAATTGGTGTTTTTTTTCGATTTGTACCTAAGATCTCTGTTTAGCAAAACAATTTACCTGCAGAAAGTGGGTAATCTCCTCCAACTCCTATACCCAAAATAATACGCCAAAATATAATACCGGAAAGCATATTCATGGTAAAGGAATCAGCGGCAAGGGCTAAAGTTTTATTGTATTTAGATTTTATATTTCAAATATGTTAATAAATAAACGATTTGCTTTGTTTGAGTTATACATGTGATAGAAATTGCTTCGGCTTTTGTCGAAACTATTACGGCTTATGTCGTAACTAGTTTCGAATAAGCCGAAATAGTTTCGGTCACTTGTATAGATGAGTATTTCTAACCTGTTCCGGCAGTTGCAGCAATCATAATAGAGAGCTCAATGCCATACATCTAACATAGTATTTGGATAATATAAAAAAAAAATTTATATTAAAGCAAAGATTTCAAGTTTCCATTAGGTCAAAAAAAAAAAATTCAAATTTACTTTTTTACGGCCATATTTATCAGCCATCCAACCAAACAATATTTGCCCAATAATATTTCCAATTGCTGCTGAAGTCTTTAACCCAGTATCCCAATTTGTTGGAACAGCGTTACTTGGAGCAAAATATGTATACCCAAGCATTGTCGACACAAAATTTATGACGAACAGATCGTAAGCGGAGGAGAAAAACCCTACACCTGATATCAGACATGCCCTAATATGCACTCTTTTAATTATTGCATCGTCAAGTTTGGATAAAAACTCTCGACGAGTTGTATCTAATTGTACTAATATATCTTTTGCTTTTTTATCTGAAAATTCTCTGGACATGTTTTTATTTTGAATTTAATGAAGGTATTAGTTTGGATATGGAATTTCGTTATTATTTCTGAATATCTTGGGTTTCTCAAGTTTTCGTTATTATTTTTTAAGATCTATGAATATGAAGTTAAGCATTTTAAAATTCTTAAAGAAGGATAAAATTTGAAAAGGAAAATTTTAAAAATAAAAACGAAACCTCTAAATTATTATAAATTTTATCAAAAGAATTTTTAATTCAAATACTAAAATTGTTGTTATGTGCTTAACTTAAAAATATTTGGAATACATGTGTACAGTACTGTTATTTTTAAAAATAAAGCATATGAAAACGGTCAATCCCTTAAAAAGAATTAGTTTTCAAATAAGGTAACGGACAATTCCCAAATTCAGAATTTGCTAATAAAATGAATATGTGTAAATCGGCTACTCTGTATTCAATTATTAATTAATAAGGAAAAAATGATGTATTTGTATCCCATTTAGGGATGGTAGAGTTCAGTCCTTGGTTCTGTAACTTGTAGGTCTTACTTTATGTCCGCCTTTACGTAACTAGCTTTAGAACTTACCGGTAGATTTATTCAAGACTGGGTGCTCTCAAGCACCTAAATCAATGGATCAGAGTAAATAATTTAACCGATCAAGTGAGTTCTCCATCGCAATGAAAAAAAATACACCTAGCTTTGAACTTGTCAATTCGCATAAAGATATCCGCCTATTTTAATGTATAACTTTAGCACACATTTTGAATTCTAAGTTGTCTGAATAATAGAAAATAGAGTCTTAGATTAAAATATAATAATTATAAAGTTTAACTGAAGATATCTCAGGAACAGCCTAGCCATTCATTGCGTTTCGAATTCTATATATCTAAATTGTTGATTGGGAATTGGCTAGATAGTCTTAATATCGATATAGTTTAACCAAGTTTGAAAATTTTGTGATTGTTAAACAAAACCTAATACGTATATGTTTAGTAATAATATATATATATGGGTTTTGTAATTTAACGCAATCAGATCGCAGGATCAGGTGTAACGTGAAAATCAAAACAAAAGCGATTTTTTAAGAAATCGCTTGTAACTCAATTTTTCGTTTATGAAACCTCCTTTCGCATTCTAATAAAAAAATTCCTTGCAAAATTTTGGGTTAGAGACATTTCGCCATTGCCCTTCCCAAACCCTAATGTAGCCCTGACCCTAACCCTAAACTAACGCGCAAAGGGTTTGTTTTGATTTTCATGTTACACGATCAGGAACTATCAGAGGCAGCGATAAATCGCATAAGCGAAAAATAATAAAATTCTTTTTTTTAAAGAAAAATATAAAACATATGAAATTTTTTAAAAAACTAACTTAGAGATTTTTATAATAAATTATATATAAAATTTTTTTCAAAGGTCTACAAAAACTGATCTGACCAGGTTATAAAAACCAAAATATTAATTTTGTATAGCTTAATAGCAGGCTTTGAAAATTCTAATTTAGTTTTTACAATTTCTTGTATGAATTCTAGTTTAAAATTATGAAATTATTTTAATAAATTGTTTTTTAAAAAAAAATAAAAAAAGAAAGCTGATTCTAATCAAAAGTTCAATATAATTTTTAAAAAAATTATTTTAAAATTTTATCTAAATATTATTTTAAAGAAAAATTAAAGTTACAAAAAAAGAATCTTTTTGTCTTGTTCTAAATTATGACTATTTAAAAAGATAATATTTTTAGTTAAAAAAGTTATTTTTTTTGTTATTTCTTTATTAAGATAAATTGAATCAAAATTTATTTTAGCAAGGAGTTGTTTAAAAAAGTTTAGTTCTATTAATAGAGATAATTTCAAATTGTTATTATTCTAAATATTTTTATTAAAAAGTAGAAATTCTATTAATTTTCTATTAATTAAAAAGAATTAATTTTTTGTAATTAATAAAGAAATACTTAAAAAATTTAAATCTTAGTTTTATAATCTTAGTATAGTAGTTAAATTGCTAAACTGCTATGTAAAAGGTCTGAAGTTTAAATAATACTATTAACAAAATTTAAATATTACTTAAACTTTGTAATTGAGTTATTATAAACTTTGTTTGTTTCTGAAAGTTATAATCTTTTTTTGTTATTAAGGTGGCTTACATTGCCGAGCGAATTTTATTAGTTTGATATATGAGGTCCCACATGGGGTTCC